TGACACATAACTGCATGCGCGGGTGAAAACACAGGGTGTGAGTCCTTAAATATATATATATATATCAGATATATAATTAATGACAGTTATGTTAAGACATATTATATCATCGTTGACCCGTTTTCAACTACCCCGACCCCAACACATGGATTTTGTTTGATGTAGTTGTTGCATGCCTTTTTGCTTGGTGGTTTCTTTAGATGTTTGCACCTCTGCTGGATCCCAAAACATGTCTCTGTTTGTTTGAGCTTCTCGTTGCGGACACTCTCCCAGTCATTGGCATTCCACAAATCACTTGTTGACATGGCGTGGCGAGGCTGCCATCGATGCGGACGACGTGCGGAACGCAACGTGAGGGTGTTCTGCTCCAGACATTGCACAGCGATGTCACGTCTCCCAGCATGACACAGGAAAATGACATGTCCATAAATTGTCCTAAGATGTGGTGGAAAAGAAACACTAAATCTCCTCAGTCTAAGTGAATGCTTTCCTTGGAGTCTGTTTTTGTTGCTTCCATCAAAGGTCGAGAAGTTTGTTTTGTTTCAGTCCTTTTTGTTGGAAGATGCTTTCTCTTTTCTTAAAAGCAACAGGCGTTGCATTGAAACATCTAAAAACCATGCTACCAGGCAGGCTCATTTCCAGGTGTTCAAACCCAAAAAAGCCGGCGGTTCCTCGCCCGTTTCACCCGTTCGCTGCATTTCGCCGTGGCGTTTTCAAAAGGCGTCGCTGGGGTCGACGAGGGACGGGTGTCCGACCCGCAGTTGCAACGCCCTTCGATTCGCAACGCCTTTTTGGTGGGGGGACACCCCACTAAAAGCATTCCAAACAATTCAAACAAAACGGTGGTGCAAAAAAGGGCAGTTGACCCGTTGAATTGCATGTTGCAGGGAAACTGAGGGAGTCAGAGGCTTTTGGGCTCTCGCACCTCAAGCGTTGTGAAGATGATTGCCAAAGAATCCATGGCATATCATGGCATGCCGGCTTGGGTTCTACAGATGTTCAGACACGGGCGCAGGTGAACTCTACCTGGCACTTCAGTAGTGTTTAGAACGTGTTCCGAGTTGACATCTCATCTCTAATAGGTGATGGATCAAAATGGTTACTGGATATAGGAAGATCCAAACAATTCCGAATATATCCAAATAATAATTAAGGAAAAGGCATGCGATTTGCTCCTCCCCGTTTTTTGAGAAACAGAGGACAAGGGAAGGTTCTTCTATCATCTCTCTCAATTGCAAGGATTATTTTTGCCAGGGGTGGCAATAATTCAATAGGTTGAAGGTAGATGATCAACACCTGCCATGGTATATTGAATGTGTTATATATATATATCCCAGACGCTCCATGTATTATGCCATATATATATATATGCCTACATTGACCCCTCAAACCACCCCAATGTAGGCATCATTTGTGGCATACATGGAGTGTTTGGGTATATATGTAGCTTAATATATCTTATCTTAATATACAATATGCATAATATTGCATAATATATTCAACATATACACATGTAATTATATGTTTTATGGTCCATGGGGTTGGATCACCTTGCTCTCGGGGCTTTGATGGCCTGACACTCTCTGGAGCCGTGCTCGAGCTGCTCAGAGCGCCCGGGCGAGTTCCTCCCGCGGCTTCGATCGCCGTGTCTCTTCCCCCGCGGAGCTGAGGCGAACGCGTCCCGCGGCTCAGCGTGAGCTGTGAAGGTTGGAGCTCAACCAGATCCCAAGAAGCATTTTGATCCACCTATGTGAAGCATCCAAGACCCTTCTTTCTTGTTTGGAAAGATCCCAAGAAGGGTGGAACCATGACCTTGAGGTGGGGAGTGAGAAATCCACCGTCCACATGGTGAAGCATCAACGGAGCGTGCCAGGGATGCCGGAAGCGTGGGTATAGTCAATGTGCAGCTGGGTGCCAGTGAATTGGTTCTGACCTATCCTGGCATGGGCAGTTTGACATGTCTTTATTGGACTGGAAGAGGCCTTCAAAATTAAAGAAGGTGTGATGGAGGAAGGCAGCGTGGGGGGGTCATTGGGCGTGTGGGATGTAGATTTGCTTGATTGAGAGGGTGGGGTTGGCGGACAGGGACGGATAGTTACATAAATTGAGGAAAAATTGAGTGCAGGTTGGCCAGGTATCACTAGACTGCCAGTTCACGATGTGCCTTTCGGCTCAGGTGGGTCAAAGTCCATGCCATGTGCATCAAGTCTTTACCTTCTGAAACCCATGCCATCAGCGTTTGCAGGAGCTCACCCAAGCAAGGCAGGGCGGTATTTAGTGGATTTCAATATTTATCTCCGGATCAGCTCAACATAACTCACCTGCTGTTCTGCTGCTGAGAAGACCTCAGCGGCAATGATGCGCCCCATGGTGGAACGGAGGGTCAAGAGGAGCCCATTGGGGAAAGCAGAGATTGGTGGAAGAGTGTTCTTTGGAGGGCGGTTGGGCAACCGTTGCATGTTTGGGCACATCCAAGAGATTGACCCTGAAGGAATAGTACTTATATGGGTGTGTACTGGAATGACTTCGGGGGGCCTTCTTGCCACACACACTCATGTACAGCGGTATGTGTACCAGGAAATTCTAGCTGGCCTCATGACGTCGCCTTCAAAAGACCTGCCCGGTGTCACTTGAACGTGGAGTGGCTAGGTGCCTTCCCTGGTGTCCTGCCAAGAGTCCCTGGTCTCCCTGGTGGGGATGCAAGACTCAAATCGAAAGGCCCTGCAAGACTTGGCCATGCTTAGCTTGGCATAAAATTCATAAATGCATTGGCGGGAAAAATGGTCTTGAAGGGTGTTGGGTGTTGACTTGCATGTCAACAACTTGGTAGTCGATTGACATTCTGCTAACATGGTCATTGAGCATGTTGCTCACCGCAGCTCCTGAGCTTGTTGGTCTTTGGATCTGACTACGACTGGTGGGAGTCCGCTGGCCACTCAAGAGCAAACTGAGTATTTCCCCAAACAGAGTATGCCTAGTGGGCCCCAGAGCTCGAACATAGGGCCTCCCAGCTCGAACACACAGAGCACCTGCAACCCCTCGTGCCGCAAGCAGACCCGACCCTGCGAAGAAACAGGCCGAAGACGAGGAAGACCGGACTGATCATTGTGCTTTCCGATTGGACGATCATTGGGATGTGTGTTTTTGTTTGCTCCATGGCCCATGAGAGAGACCCGGCCCAAGGTTCTGGTTCGGATGGGGTCATAGTATTGTCATATATTTGGTGAAGGATACATCAAGCGTACTGGTGGGTTGCTCCAGATAACTGCTCATCACCGCTCCCGCTTTCTCCTGCTCACGACCACGCCTGAGTGAACCGAGCGACGAGGATCCATCACCGCAAGAGCTGTCCAGCCAGTCAGGAGACGTTACCACTCAAGGCGAGGGCCAATGAAACCTGAGAATTCCATCAACCATCATCAACCTGAGCATCCAGAAACATCTAGAAGCTCTCAGACCATCCTCCGAGATTTTGAACTGCTTGACCCATGCCTGACCCATCCTTTAACCACGAGAGAAACCAGCACACAAGTGGCCACCGAGAGAAGTGCGCGAGACTGTCCAGGCGCTGCCGGCGAATGTGATCTCCATGCCGGAGACCGGGGGGGGCGGAGTGCGGGCAATGCAGAGACATGGATGAATAAAGAATAGTAATAGAACCCTCTGGACATGGATTGTAAAACCTCTACAGCAGCTGGGATGCGGAGGGACGCGAAGGACGCCTCTGGGCGGGGTCTGACACCTGCAATGGGGTCTGACAAGGGTGACAGTTCAAGGTGAGACGTGATTCATCGATATTCATCGTGACTTAGATGAGTTCCAAGTTGGGTGGTAGACAAATGGGTTCCAAAGATCCATCCTAATGTAAACTCTTGATGAATGAACATATGTAGAGGATTTCCAATTCAAATGGGGGGAGGGTTTACCAATCAAGAGTCAACAGGCTTTACCATGCGGTGCACCATTTCTTGGTTTCTCAGGATGCCAACCTCAGGCCTCCATCTCGACAGAGCGAAAAAACCGCTGCAGACGCAGCCGATAGGTACAGATCTCCGAAACATTGGCCGCTCTGCTTTCAATAGGCATGAGGATATCTGTGCCATTCTGTGCCTATTGAAAGCAGCGTGGCAGGAGTCCACCAAAACCACTTAGCAGTCGGGTCCCTTTCACTTTGAGCTCATTCGGCAACCTTTTGGACCCTGAGTTGCTCCTCTTACAGGGCTGCCGTCGACATGTGTACCTTTCATGCCAGCACCGCAGCACCTCGCTGCACAGAGAGATGGTTCATCATCCATGGTCCAGCACCTCATCATGGCCCATGCACTGATTACAAGAAATTGATACAAATTGGGTAAACGGCGGGGGTTAACCCGAAAAGCAACGTGCACAGGGCTAGAAAAGCGCAACGCGAGTGTCGAGTCACGCGAGTAGAAACTTGAATGAAACTTTGCTTGAAGCTTCACCATCAAAACAAAAACAACTACAACAAAGCATGTTTTTACTTTGTTTTTTCAACTTCAAACAAAACACTTCTGAAACATGTATTTAAAAAACAGAAAGGAGCGCTCTGAGCGGCGCGTTTTTGCATTGTTTCATTTTGTTTGTATTTTGTTTCTATATTTGTATTGCGTTTCTATTGATTTTTGTGCCACTGAAAGAATACTATTCTGCCTCAACCCCCCCCTCCCCCAAAGGCAATTTCCAAAATTCCAATTTTCCAAAATTCCAATTTTCCAAAATTCCAATTTTCCAAAAAAAACAAAGAAACCAAAAAAAACAAAAAAAACAATTGTGCCAGGACTTTGCCTCACCCCCTCTTCCCCCCATGGTCTGTGCAGAATTGTTTTTTTTGTTTTTTTTGGTTTCTTTGGTTTTTTTGGAAAATTGGAATTTTGGAAAATTGGAATTTTGGATTTTTTGATTTCCTGGGATGTTTTAAATTTTCAATTTCCTTGGAAGTAGACAATACTACCACTTTCTCTCAATTCCAGAACAGTCTCTGAAACCCTCAGTGATTTGTTCATTAGGGTCTAATAATGCTCCTTCTGCTCCTTTAACTCGAAAATTGGTAATACCTGACATTTTAGAATTATAACCAGTAAAATTGACATCTGCAATTTTTTCAAATGACATACCAATAATGAATTTGTTCTTTCTGTATTGACGATACGAAAAACTTAAACTGTCATGTACTGTATAGCTCTTCTTAAATAGTAACAGATTTATGATAATGATTGCGCTTCAAATTCTGTGTATTTCTGGGAATTGCTTAATTGAATTTGCCAACTTAAACTACGGGTGGCATCTTGAAAACCTTTGTACCTTGTAAGTCATTTGTATCAGCATTACCAGTATCATTAATTCTTCCATAGATCATAGGATTAATTCCATCTCTTATATACATAATTGTCAGGTAAGTATCGGTTCAGTTCTTCACCACTCCTTGGAGTTCTAAATAAGGTAATGAATGCTCCAGTCAGTTTAGAAGATGATTTTACAATATTCATATTAATTTCACCACCACCAGCATTGAATGTTTGGGTGATTGTGTGATAACAATTTGTAATGTTTCTTATCTTTGCCATTCCGCCCCCCTTCTATGTCCTGCCATTCTAACACTCAATGGCTGACAAGTAGCACCAATATAGACATCGTCATTTTGTCATTTAGTATTCTGTAAAATTTTGCCTTGGAGTAATCCACCATAACATTACATAGTTTAACTAAGTTTAAATGTTGTTTTTTAAATGAGTGATTGGGGTTAAATCCATTGCTTATATTGGTGCCGGGATTGATGTTCCAAAGGCCGTTCCCTTCAAAATTGATATAGCTGTGGCTCATTAAAGGGTTAGGTTCTTTCAAATCAGAAGTTACAGCGTAACCATCCAACATTGAAACAATATCGGATGGATTGAGGTAGTCAAGTCTTTTGGGACTTTTGTTCCTTTCCTTTTTGTTTTTATTGTAGGGGTAGCATAGGTTGTTGTAGCAAATGTATTAGGTTGTTCTTGATTGATCTTATTGCAGCACTTGCAAGGTTATGCCCAACCAAACGGGTTATTTCTGGTGACTTTTCCAATTCTTCTATAACATGTTTGTATTTCTCACTGTGATGAACATTTCTAGTAGGTACTAATAACAGATCATCCATAATATCCCTTGTTAAAGATCCATCACAACCACCTGTGCCACTTATGTATAAAGTCTTACTTGTTTTGTAAAAAGCACTTGGTGATGAATAGGCATTCCATAAGCCCCTGCAGTCTTCTATCTTCTCCTTGTTTGCTATATTTTTCTCTTCAGCATATAGTGTTCTATGTTGTTTAAAGTGATCATTTAAGTTTCTTGTAAAGTCATTCATTCTATCATTCCAATTTTGGTTCTTTTTTTTCATAATCACTGTAGGTTTCTTGACCGATCTTACTGAATAACATCTGGGCGCTTCCAGGCAGATCCTTCCAGGCAATGTCAGACACATCAATCATTCTCAAGAAAACGCATGAAAAAGGTTGAAACATGCTCATTTTCATCGAAAAAACGCGCCGCTCACAGCGCTCCCCTCTCCAGAAAAAAAAGACTACAACATTGTAAAACCCAAAGATCACTAAAAAACACCGCCGCATCGAGACGCATCGTTTCTGCATCCAAAGGACCAGGGCACTGTCTACAAGAACTGCATCCACGTCACCGAGGAGGACCTCAAACGCGCGGTGCCACAGTGAAGGGAGACGTGGCACCGCGGAAGCCGGTTGGCGTGGCAAACCTGGAGACCGGTTAGTCGCGTTCTCGCGTTCTTGCGACGGTCCCTATGGTTCAATCCCCAAACCTAATATGTCATGAAACGTATGTGTTTTCTTCGATTCATTCGAGATGCCTGGGCGGGTGAATTTGGAAGTTTTGGACACGTGATGCCAATGAATCATAAGGTAGATCTGACAGTTACAAAATGATGTGACACTTTTTATGTTTTACAACGTACAATCACGCAAACATGCACTTTAACATTTACATAAGTTGGCACTTTGAAGATGACCAGGTCGATTTAAACTGCCTGGTCAGCTGGTGACGTAGGGTTTTGCTACGATGACCAGGGAGGTCAATGATTGATGACCGGGACTGCATGAACAAAAGCCTCGCCCAGTCGGGCTGCATTCTCTCCATGAGCAAATCGGGCCTGCGGTGCCAAGAAACATCAGAAATATACAGCACATACACATATATATATAATATTTATATATACACGCAAAATTGTAGAATAGTTTAGAATATATGAACAATTAACATATAATAACAATGTAATATAATAGAATCATAAGAAACATATAATATATGATACTTTTTTGTAATGTCATTGGCTCAGCCGCCCCGCAAGTTGGGGGGGCACTTTCAGGTCAAGACCACCCTGAAGGATGAAAGGCTTGGCTTGGACCTGAAAGATCCAAGCCTTGCTCGAAGACTCCAAGCTGCCATCCACCCAGATGAGTTTGGAGCCTTTGAAGAGCCCGAACCTGCGTGCAGGGCCTCTCAAGATTTGACACCTCAGACCTATAGTGCACTAAAAGCTTTGATTCCAGGGAAGGTCTCCCTCATTCTGCATGTGCCCAAAACATGTCTTGCACGATCTTGCACTCGAAGTCTTCATACCGTCAGAGCTCCCCCCATCGTGCCCCAGAGTCCACCCTGGACACGCAGCGCGGTTCCGCCTGCAGGGTATGGCCATGATTTGACAAAGCTCCGCGAGCATCAGGTGCGGGAGGTTCTGCGGTGGGCTTAGCCCACAGGGAGGGTCAGCCGGCGGGGTGGCCGCAATGCGGTCGGTCCGGCGGGTGTGCCAGGCGGGGCAGAAGACAGTAAGGGCCACCAAAGTTCTCCTGAAGACAAGAGGAAGACTGCACAGACAGGATACCAAAACTCATCAAAAACTATCTAATGTGTTGGTCCAGTGACCTAATTAGAGAGCTTTGCTACGACCCGGGTCACCCTGTTTGGTGTTTCGCAACGTCGCGCCCGGAGTCGGGCTCAGTCGTGTCAATGCGACTTCCACCGGTGCGGCGGTGGGGGGGGACGGCGTGGGACTGGGTCCGGAGCCACGTCGTCACGGCTTTGTTGGAGACAGGAAACGAAGTGAGCTGTCAGACGGGAAACTCCAGTGGAACAAGTGTTGGTTTGTGTGTGACAGCGTGAAACAAATCAGCATTCTTCATCACTTCGTGCTGGAGAAGGCCTTTGGATAAGGCCTCTAATAAGCGGTTTGCCACTCCAAGAGTTCACAGGTATACCTCCTTGTGGCGGCTGGATGTCCTTGTGACAGAAGTGGTCAGACTATGCATGGTCGAGGTATTGGGTGTGTGGCATTTCCCTCCAAACACATCACATAGAAGTGGATGGCACCACATGTTTGGAGAGGAAATTCATTGTCTTGCCAGAGTCAATGTCCCACTTCCAGTAAGTTAGGATCCTCGGTGTTGCTGATGTACAATCAATCAAGTTGGCCTGCAAGTCCTATTTTTCTGCATGCTGTGACTGTGAGCCTCCCCCCAAAAATGTACAAACATTCTCAACAAACATCCTGTCTCTTTGTCGAACACAAGGGAAGTGGATGGACATTGATTCTCCATTGGAGGGTTCGGGTCATTGAAAGCTGTGTTGAATCCTTTGTACCCTATCTAAGAAATTTGTGCCCTCAATTGAAAAAGGTTTTTGTTTCAGGTCCGGACCCTTTTGGAAAAAGGTGTCGGGTCACCTGCCCGTTTGTGTCAATTCCGAGGTGTTTGGCCGATGTCCGTGTGTCCTGTGGAAACGATCTTGCACCGAAGACCACAATGAACAGACATGCAAACACCTGAATCAGAGGAACCAGGAGATTTCGAATTATGTCTTTTTGTTAAGGATGTTAAGGTTCTGAAGTTGGCGACGTTCCCCAACTTGCCCAGACAGCTTCCGGTGGTAACTTGGTTTTGAGAGGTGTCTCGCGTTTCTGGTGGCTAGAATCTGAGGTATATTAAGCCTATGACAAGTGATAAGTCCTGCCCACCATGCTTGGGTCGGGTTTTGGTCGCCGTCTGGCAGGTCCAACCGTGGGAACGCCGTCACCGAGAGAGGCCGGCTCCGAACTACGCTCCAAGAGGGGGAACTTCTCCTGGAAGATCAGTTGAGGTGATGCATGACCCCTCCCTGCACTACCCACACTCCCGGCCCCACGTGCCAAGCATGGCCTCGACAGGACCCATGGATCCATGGCATGGACCCATGGATGCAACTCATGCGAGAAAGCGGGGTTGATCCTCTTCCACGTTCTTGCAGAAAGGGTCTTAAGTGCATTCAGCTATTCAGACGCGGAGACCAAGCGTGTCCGGATGAAAGCGGGTGCAAGCTTTGAACAGATAAAAATAGCCCATCAATCCTCGAGCCAAGAGGGTGCTCTAGCTGTCCACCATCACCCAATCACCCTCCAGAACCCTCTCCAATCTGGAGGACCCTGAGCTTTGGCGAGAGCTTTGAGGAGACCTGTCGAAAGCCAGCAGAGGCAAGCTGCAGTCGCAAGGACAAGACTTGCGGAACTGGAGTGTTTGTTCTTCTTTCAGGACGACTCCGGTCCGATGTTCGACGTGAATGGTGTTTCTCCAAATCGTGTTGAGGGACTTTGGTTGTTCCATGTTGGATTGGACCTTGAGAAACACATCGGAAACACCTCGAGGGTCCGGTCCGGTCCGCTTCCACCGTGAATGGGCAGGTCTTGGATCCCTGGCGGAACCTGCCGGAGCCCGAGCGCCTCCGGCCACCCAACGAAGGTGCCACCTGTTCGGGCGGAGCGGTGGAGCCACGGATGTAAGCAGGTGGAATGGAAGGTGCTGAATGGATTTGGAGGTTGAGCCACAGGTCATGTATAGTATATAATGATGTGTTGGCTGTTGGAAAGCATACATCCAGCATCCAGAGAAGACTTCTTGGTCAGCCTATGGGCGGCTGCAGAACCAGGCCATTTGAATCCATTTGGCTTGACTCAAGCGCACTGCGGCGAGGTGACCTTTTCCTCAACCAAGTGGTGCCCAAGTCGCCAAATCGAGTGGCAGAGGAGGACGATGCCGAAGCTGAGGAGCGACGCCTTAGCAAGGCGAAGAGGGAGGAGGAGGGGTGGGTCGATCAGGATCCTGACCAAGGGTCCATCCCACCTGAAAGAACAAACATGACCACAAGCTGTGGGCCCTCCTCCCAAAAGCGGGGCCCTCCTCAGTGGGATTCCTTCAGCCAGTTTTCCAGATCGGTTGAAAAAGACATCCTGGTCCTGGTCCTAACCTCCCAAGCTGGGATTTGGCAAACCTCAAAAGTTGGGATTCGATAGGACTTTGAGTTAGGCCAGTTACTTCACCCACGTTTCTACAAGGAGGGCAGGCTAAGGGCAGGCCTAGCAGCCCTAGCAGTGCAGGTGTATTCGATTTGTTTCAGTTAGCATCATTTGTATCGCCAATAATAGGTCGAACCACTGCGGTGTTTACCTTCAGTTCTTTTATTTCTACTTGCAAGTGTAGTGTCAAAGGTTGGATGTGATCACTCTTCAGCAAATATGGAACAACATGGAAAAGCAATAAACCAAATTGGTCGGGATTCAAAAGCGGCCCCTCCACACACAATGAAACAAGCACACGTAGTGCAATAAAGGAACAGATTGGAACAATGTGAGAAAAAACCTGAACAACTTCAAGAAAAAGTATATGTACAGTAAACAAGTGAACAAACAAAACAAACACATCCAAAACATGTCCTCTCTCTCTCTCTTGTATATATATATATATATACATAGAAACATTTACAAACTCTTGTGGGGGCCCTGCTGCCAGCCCAAGGCCTCTGAGGATTAGTTGGTTTGTTTTTTTTTAATGGTTTCATGAGTTTTCATGTGTCCACTGGACGGTGACAGATATTGTTTTGCTTATATAAGAACGGACAATCGCTTAGGGCCAACAAAACAATCCAACACGCTGAAGACGCACTCAGAACGGCGTCAGAATATCAATAAGTTGTTTGTTTTTAGTGCTGCCTTTTAGAACATTCCAGAACCCACACTTATACAATTAGAACATGGTAAGGAAAAACATCGGAAATCTAGCAGAACTCTTTCCAAAACTGGTGGGAAATGCACTTCAACCATATGACCACCGTTGTTGATTGGTTCCTCACCGATCGTTCCGAGCGATCGGTGTGTTCGACATATTTCCGCTAGTTATCCCCCTTCCCCTGTCAAGCTATATGTTGTCTAACTAACTCATGAGACTTTATATAGTTTTTACCCTTCAGTGTTTCTTCAGGTCTTGACCTCTTCGTCTTCACATCCTGAAATCCTTTGTTTTGCTCACAAGCTGATCCGGCTGATCCTAATCCCAAGGGGCTATTCTCTTGGTCAAGCCGACTTTTATATCTTTTAATATTGCTGGCACATGCTGGCACTGTTTGTTTTAGCCTAGGGACTGAAAACCGGACCCACTTTTCTGACATTTTTGGACTCCACGGCGCTTGGTCATGTCATCGCATGGTGTTGGGGGGGTGGGGGGGGTGGGGTGAGGGTCAAATTCCCCGCAGTGGAGCGTGTAATACATAGTATCCGTGGATTCAACTCACAGTCCAACGAGCGAGTGAGCGAAGGCGATCGAGCGGCTGTTTTCACACGCACATACCTTGAGCCAAATGTTATGGCATGTCAATGCATTGCGTAAGAGCATATCGCAAGATACTGTAACCAAGGGCATGAAGCAATAGCGTAAACGGGAGCCCAAAAACAGAAAACATGCGGGGGGGTGTTGTAATTTCGTTCTTGTTTTCACATACGTCTCATGAGCATGAAGGCTCAAGACGTAGCCACGGTGTGTGCTTTAGTTTTGTTGCTTCGGTTGTCGGGTGTTCCTTGTCGTCTTGGTTTTTTGTTTTCTTCCTTTGTGGTGCGTCAGCCCTTTTTCCTTAGACCAGTACGTAGACGGCTTAACTCGTGCAGTTCTGACCCTTGAGTCTCTTTTGTTCACGAAACAGGTTTGGGTTCAGATCGTGGTTGGGTAAACTGGGAGCAGGTGTTAGAAACTCGTTTTTCGTTGTTCACACTTTGGCGCAATGTGTGGTTGAGGCTTTTCTTTTTCGAAAAACAGAAACTAAGTCCTTTTCTGTTGGTGACTGTTGGTGTTGAGTTGGTGTTCGTTGCGTAGTTGTAGCAGCTCCATGTCGGATGGGTGCGCCGCCGCTGATTTGCTCGACAATGGCATCGATGAAAAAGACTTGCGCTCGGAGCCTGACTGGGGAGAGCTAGTTACACAAAAAACAGGCAACTTGAGGTGTCGCGAAAAGGCCGTTTTTTATTTCGGCAAAACGCATGACAAAGCACTGCGTTTACCAATGAATTTGACATGAGAACCTGCAAAAGAGGGTGCGGTTTCCAATCCGTACGGTTGTTTTAGAATAGGTGATTAGGTATTGTCGTCGTTTTTCGAAGTCGGGAGAAACCAACTGCCATAGGGTTCAGCCGCCAATGAGTTCAGCCGACCAGATGCGAGAAGACTCATTGGTCGCTGTCATTAGAAGATCTACATCACAAACTAGTCGACTGTAATGAAATCAGTTTACTAGCAGGACATTATGGTTTACATTATGTAATGTTATTGTTACTAGTATTAGATATACAGTACATCATAGTTTATTTTTTAACTAGTCCCTAGTCGCTGTCCTGCGACCTCACAGTGGCTCATCCCTTCAAACAGCTAGATTGCTGTTGGTTGGTTTGTCGCCTCTTAGGAACGAACAGCTAGAACATGTTAATCCGAACAGGAATTGCAAGTGATAAAAAAACGATCTCGCTTAGAGGAGCCCAATGTAATTGTCAATACAAAGGATGACGAAACGGCCGGGACGTCGTGATGAAAGATGACCCTCCGTCTTACGGCGTAATATACAAACATCCTGATCCAGAAGCCTCATCTTTCATACAGTGATATTCACCTTATATATTTAAACCTAAACATGTCCTTGAAGGGATCGGATAGATTCAATCACCACTTGCTTCATGATAATTCTACATATGCCATATGCCAGATGCGCTCCATGATATATGCAATGTCAAAACATGCGTTCACATTCCAGCAACAGCCTGCTGGATGCCTCAAACATGGACTCCATGGAATGCCTCGATGCCTCGTCACCCAAGTCCGGGCGTTTTCGCCCAGCAAGGCCTACCAGCGGATATCCAGCAACGTGAGCGCCGCGAGCACGGCGGCGCAGTCGTCAGCGGCGCCCTCGCGCGACATCAGTCGCGCGTCCTCGAAGGAGTCGGCCAAGCCAGGCGGGGCCAAGTTCGCACCATGGTTGACTTGATGATGGTGGTTTTGATGTGTTTTGAGTTGAGAGTTCGGTACAGAGTCGAGAGTCCTTCGGGGGATGTGTTTAGAGATGGTTTTGACACCTTTGCTGTAAGACTGTGGGACAGTGTCATGGCCTGCGGTCCTGAAAACAAGCCGTTTGTGGAATTTAGGGGGGTTAAAGGAAAGAAGTGGCCGCTTGAGCCAGCAAATGCAGCTATTGGTACTCGTTGCTCCTATGATCATGGGAATTGATGCAGAGTACCTGCCCACTGCCTCCATATGATATGCAACCAACTTGGCAGGACACGTCGCGTGTTTATGTCTCCACCAGCAGTTCATCTCTGTCAAATGTTGTTTTTCTTCCGGGAGGTTCATTGGAGTATTGCAATACAGGTGGTGAATGATTTGATCCTCATGAGGGGGGTGGGGGCGATGATGATCATGTTGGTTTTGTTTCTCGTAATCACGGTCGTTTCATGCTCCAAGTTGAAACATGATGAGATCACCATCTGTCCATTTCTTTGTAGATAGACAACGCAGCACCATACGTCATGTTTGATCACGGTCCTTGTCATCATGTTCTTCATGGTGCACTATGTACATATGCACATCCACACATAATATATATATACATATACATATACATATATATATATGTATGTGTGCCTGGCAATGCCTCCTGTCCTGGCCAACAAATTGAAACTTGCAAAACACTCTCCCAAGATCAGTCAAGGAGGTTCGACAGCTTGCAAGGAATCAGGTTCGGACGTCACGGACGTCTCCATCGGCTCAGGAGGTTCGGACACCGCCAGGTTCATTGGCGGACGGGAATAGATGAGGCTGGCTCCCATTCTAAGGCTTTGAACACATAGCGCCTATTGTGGGTCGTGAAAAACCACCAGTCCACCATGTTTGCCGACACCAGGTGGGTGAGCCCTTCGGTCTCCTGGCGCGACCCACATCCCAGGCCTCCAGCGTGCGAAGACGCTGCCCCCCCGTGGCCCGAAGTCGCTCGCTGGTCCTGGCTGGCACCAACTTAGCTGGCGATTCGGGCGCTGGTTGACGGATGGGTGCGGCGATCCGCGCGGCTCTTCGGATTCGATTTCGGGGAGGTGGCAAGTGTTTGGAAGGAAGTAGTCAGGTAGGCTGATAGAGTGAAGGCTGAAGACATTGTTTGATATCATGTTTGGGAGGTGTGCTTTTTGAGTGGGACGGAGTGCAGTTCAGTCTATGACTCAGGAGGCCAGAGCTGGTTGCATAAATGTCGTGACGTGGGTTTGGCTCAGAAAATCAATAAGAACTGGGGCCCATCAAGACCCGCCGCGGTCTCTGGTCATAGCTCCCAAAAGACGGGATTCAGATTCCGTGTGTCCATGGAGCCACCTCCAGTGACTCTCAGACGGAAGTCCGGCGCCGCTTCGGGACGTGGGCAAGCACCAGTCTGCCCATTTTGGCTCAAGCCATTGTCAGATCAAGTTGTCCATTCCTTCTTCACTCATGTCTGACCTTGCTGAGCGCCTCCATGGTGGGGCCAGCCGTCGTCGCCGTCGGTCCTGCAGCCGCGACTCACGAGCGCCGCTGCGTCGTCGAACATCTCCGTCTCTTCCTCGTGATCGGCATCCAGACCCTCCTGCTCCTGCACCAGCACCTGTGCTTCCAGATACCTCACCTGCTCGCCCTGTTGATGCACCTTGGACTTTTGAGCTTTCCATCTACTCGGACGATGCCGCGGCGGACAACTTCCTGCGCTGGGCGGCGGCCTATGACATCAACCCGAGCTCTTGTCCGCAGCTTACTATAAGGTCGCTCAACGATTGGTGTCTCTGGGGGTCTCTGCGCCGGGTCGTCTTCTGGGGTTCTCCGCTGAGGAGCTGGCTTCTCTCTTTGGGCAGTCTCAGGGCCTTCACCAGGAGATTATGCACGACCTCTTGCGTACAACCTTGGCTCGTCGCCTTCTCGCCTTGGCATGGCAGTCTCATTCCAACTATTTGGCAAGTCTTCCACTCATGTCTCCTTCTACTTCAATGCCTCACACGGACCTTGCTGTGGAACAAGTGCGGGTCAATGCACAGCTGGCTTCCGCCCTTGATCGATTTGCCCGGGGGCACCGGCCAACATCCAAGAATCCCATTCTGCGAGACCATGACTCTGATGATGAAGACATGGACAAGTTCGACCTGGCCTCTGTCCTCAAGCGGACTTCACACCAGTTTCTTCCCACTGATTGGTTCCCCACCAGCCAGGTGCTGTCCAAGTTGCAAGCTTTGCTTTCGAAAGCCCGTGAGTCTTGCCGGCACCAGGATCACCCTTTTATTGCTGATACTCCTTTGGAGTCTTGGGTGCCGCTGTGGGTTGGGCATGGGGAATCCCCATCTGCGCGTGAGGCTTTGGTCAAGCAGTGGAGGAAGACCGACCAGTTGGACACGGCTAGGTTTCTCAGCCTAGTGTCCAACTTTTGGCTCGCTCACGCCGTGGTCATGTTTGAAGCAAACAGGGCCATGCGAGCCGGGTTGGGTCGGCCGGGCTGCTTTCGCATCAGCTGGAGCAGAAGGACGAAGCTTTCGGACATCCTTGGTGGGAGGAGGTTCTGAAGGCTGAGACCTCTGAGATTGATAATGCTTGATATCAAGCTTGTGAGTCAAGCGGCGCAAAGGTCGCTGAAGCAAGTCAGAAAAGTGGAACTTCTGAGAGCTGCGTGTCAAAGACTGCAGTTCGTAGTGCAGATCTCGTTCATAGCAAATTGCATAGGACAAGCCATGTTCGGCGCTCATGCGAATCAGGAGCAGGAGATGAGCAAAGACGTCCGGAAACTGGATGACGCCGACCAGGCCAATGGCTTGACTTGCCCCGACCGCGCCAATTGCAAGTTGGTGCACTTGGACACCACCGATCCAAAGGAGGCGGTCCGATACTCGGCCGCTCTCCAAGCCTACAAGGCCAAGCGGCCCAAGGCGGCCGGTCTTGACAAAGCGCACCTTCTGAGCCTCCTGGGGAGGTGAGGTTCAGGGAGGTCCTTCCATCGCAAACCTCCTCATTGTGGCCAACAGATGGGCTATATTTTGACGGGTTTTCCTGGCCAAATGGATTTGGCTGGTCAAATTGTGACGGGTTTTCCCGGCCAAATGGATTTGGCTGGTCAAATTGCGACGTTTTTTTTTTAACCCATCACATTTTTGGTGGCCAAATCCATTTGGCTGAGTGGTTTTGCCCAGAAAACCCATCACAATCTAGGAAGCTCGGCTGGCCCCAGAAAAGCGATGGGTTCTTAAAAAAAACCAATCACAATTCCATACTTCGTGACTTGTGGTACTTGTGGCTAGCTGAGCTGTGACAAGTAACTTGAAGTTGTACTATAAGATCTATAAGTTATATTATAAGTTCTATAAGTTCATATTGTAACTTATAAGTTCAATAAGTACCAGAGTACTACTTATGGAACATAGTAGTAACTTGTGAACTTATAGTACTTATGTTGGAGGCTACTTATTCTACTTATTTTTAGCTAGCTTTTAGCTAATTCTAGGTAATTTCTAGCTATTTCTAGCTAATTTATAGCTAATTTCTACTTATTATATAGCTATTTGTGTATATAGTTTCCACTTTTTGTAACCTTCAATATGAAAAGTTCGACTTGTGTTCTTTTTGTTTTTTCAACAACACTATTCAAATAGATATATCTGGACGCATGCGTTTGTGTGATGAGTGTGCTTTGTGAAGCGGCCCCGGGGACGCTCTGTTGTGCCTTTTTTTGCGCGTTCGTGTTGGATCGGTTGCTGTTTTCCAAATACCTTCATCGAATACCGCCCTATCTTGGAGAACCTCAAGAACGACATCATGAAACTTGGTGAGGCGCTCAAATGAAAGAACGCTTAAAGAAAGAAACACGCAAGCGGCCTCAGGGACGCTCTGTTATGACCAAGGGTTTTCAAGAAACCTAGCGCAGTGTTCAGATGTATCGGAATGTATTGGAATGTATCGGAATGTATTGGCCTTACTTTTCATACTCCCCAGAATGTATTGGAATGTATCGGAATGTAT